GGACAGCCCTGTCCGCTGCCCACGTGTTCCGCCGCTTTGCTTCCTCTCCCTGGTCTGCTGGAGACCAGGGAGAGGAAGGGCCCCGTTCGTAACTGTGGATCCGACATAAGTCGGATCCGTGTAACTCGGGGACTGCCTGTAATTGATGTGCTTCTGACCACATCTCTGAGCACCTTCAAATATCCACTTTTTATTTTTAAAAGTAACCAGTCCAAAATATTTTCTTCTTTCTCTGTACATGAAGCTGTCTCCCTCCAAATTACACTGATCAGAAATCCAAGACAGGCAATAATCATTTCTAGATCAGTCAGTGCCAACAATTCATGAGCACATACTAGAAATGGGAGTGCTATTCCATTAGCTAGTCAGAATGCACTCATCCAGTGGGTTAAAACACTTGTTACTAGCCTTAGTGTAGGGGTAATACATTACAGTATGGGATGATTTCACAAGTAGGCCACTTTCAAAGGATTAATTTCATCCCGGATCAAAGCTCATGTGGAGGGGGCATTAGTTTAAGTATATGAGTTTAAGCACAATATAAAAGCATCTTTTAATAAATAAAGTGTGGCAAGAAAAAACGCATGGAAATAAAACTCTAGGTTTGAAATATTTGAAAGTTTTCTCCAACATAAGAGTTCTTCCTTAAAATTCTAATAACCTAGATAAATGTCCCATTCATTTCTAACAAAATTGTAAGTGCTGAAATCATCTTAAGGTATGTCTTTGAAGATTTTACACTGTATAAAATAATTAGAGCAAGGGCTCTTCAGAAGCTTTCTCAGTTTGTCCCATACAAACATTGCTATACACTATATACAAATTTTTAATAGTTTTTCCTGTGGTGTTTTACAGCCAACATTATTGCAGCCTTCCAGCATGGGCACTTAAAATACTTGTTTGCTAATGGACTGATCCAGTTTGTTCACTTGCAATGAGGCTGAATCCTATCTGAACTAATTAAATTGGAACTTCATGTGCAGCTGCTGCAGCTTTTACATATTAACCATACTTGTTGAAGACCTGAACAACAGTATTCCCTTCAGGACAGTTTAAAAAAAAGAGAAAGAAAGACAGACAAACAGCTGAATTCTTGCTTTTGACTGAGTATTTGTTACTAACCCAACAGGAACTGACATGTACTGGTTGCTGGGTAACGTGCAGCTGCTCCAGTAAGAATATCCTGTGGCAAGTGTTCCTCTGGGCAGTGGTATTTAGGACTATGCCTCCTGGAAAAATAGAAAGAAATGGTATCTATGTCAACTGAAAAAATGTGTTATCTTTTCTAAAAGCCTTACAGGAAATATTGAGAACACTTTTTTAAAAAATGTAAATAAGGTGGCAGGGATAAAACTACTAAATTGTTAAATCTATTGACTGCAATTGTATTATGTTACAGTGCAACTGAGTTACAGGGAGAGATCATGAGTTAATGTAAGTTTTTGAAAAAACAGTAGCTTCTTGTTGATGTGATCTGGCATAGCATAATTTAAAAAATCAAATAGGCATTTAAAATCTTGTATTGATTGGCTAAAAGTGTCATATGACTGTACAGGTGAATACTACCATATAGTCTGAAACTTTTCCAAGTAAGTGATTCATTGCAATCTTAAACAATACTATGGATCAGTAAGCCAAGAGTATTTGAATAAATCAATCCATTTAAAAACCATAAAATACTTTGTACATTTCATTTTACACTATCCTTTCTTCCCTTCCATTCCATTTTTCTCAGATCCCCTCTCCCTGCTGCTGCCCAGGAAATCTCCCCAGATCCCATAATGCTGCTCCTGTGGCTGATTAGCTGAGTTAGTTTAATTTTTTATTGTGAAACTAATCCAGTTAATTTGTGGAGTGGGAGGAGGGGAGCAGAGTACGATGATGGAAAAGCCTACTTTTGTATTTCACAGGAAAACTGCTGGTTTAAAAGTTTCAGAAAAATGGCTGCAGATCTCTTCATCACTAATTTCTTTCCATCCTAGCCTAAACATGCAATCATTAACTGGCTTAGCTTTAATTTATATTCAGATATTAAACTGGGAGCATCAAAAATCTCTTGGTTTAATATTTCAATGCAAAAAATGCAAACATAGCACTGGACAAAATGCTAGGGACCAGGTATTAAATCTGGACTGAGAACAAATCATAACAGAATACAGTCCTAAAACAAAGCATTAAGTAAAACCTCTATATAACTTGATTTAATAAATGGTCATCATTTAAAAAAAAAATCCAGTTCCAATTAGTTGGACTAGCAAACAGGGCATTTGTCCATGTATCTGCTTGATGGTCATAATACTCTTAATGGGACTTGCAGCAATCAAGTTTCCTCAAAATGGAAGAAGATTGGACTGAAAAAAGCAAGAACCTTCTGGAATGAATAGAGTGAGAAGGGCAAGAAATTGGCACAGCTCTGTTCTTAGACCTCTAAGGCAATTTATTCATTTCCTTTAGAAATGTATAAAGTGAGCAGTGCAAAAATCCATAGGAATTTAGAAGGTTTATATTATAAGAATAGTTTAAAATCTTTTTTCATGTAACTATTAAAACTATACCTATTTCATTATTGCAGAGAGACGTGGCTGACCATGTAGTAATATGATTAATTCAAAGAGAGTCTTGTGACCATAGCACATCTAAATTATGCAATAAACAGCACCACCACTCATTTGACAGGTCTTATTGTAATTATTAAATGGGCTTTGTTTTCATTAAATACAACTGAGAGCTTTTTAATGCATAAAACATGTTCTAAATAGTCTTCTGCTCCTCAAATCACTTATAAAAATGAGAGAAATAATGTATTGTTCAAGGACCACTAACTGTCTCTCTTTTCTCTCCCACCCTTCAGCATAGCTATGCCTCTGGCCATTGCTTCTTCTGGCCTGATTGACTATTTAATTTTACAGTTATAAACTTGAATTTCTATGAATAGAAGTGAACAAAACCCCAAGAATCCTACTTGGCTCAGGAGGGGAAAAAAACCCAGTCCCCTTGGCGTGCTTTTCCCACCTTCCCTTTGGCATTTTGCATGTTTGTTTCTTTGACCCAGATACCCTACTTGTTTAAGTATGGAATGTTTAATGAACAGTAGAGATAGTATGTGTTTTAATTCAGATAATACATTTTAGTGAAATAAAATGAAAATAATTCCCATAATTACTTTTTCTATTGCCTGCACATATATTTGTCTGGCAATTATTTAGGAAGATGACAGATCACTTATTTAGGTCACTTAAAATTTAATTTAGGTCTTGATCCAGTGACTGTTAAAGCCTATAGAAAACTTCCCATTGAGTTCAATGTGAAGTGGACTAGGTCTTAAAATGATATAAACTTAACATTAGACAGGTTGAATTTGAATTCAAGAAACTTTGAATTCTAGAAGCAATGTCCTTTTATTTAGATATCTCAGAGGGTTAGGTCTATATCTGCAAATACAATGAAGATTCCTGTGGCACCCTAGAAACTAGCAGATTTAGTAGGGCATAAGCTTTCATGGATAAAACTCGCTTCAGATGAATTGGAGTGGAAGTAACAGAGGAAGAAGTTGCTTGTGTTAATGAGGCTAATTTTATCAAGGTAGAAGTGGTTCGTTCACAACATTTGACGGGAGATGTGAATATCCAGGAAAGGAAAATTGCCTTTGTAATGCATTAACCAGTTGCTATCCTTATTCGATCTTATATTGATAGTGTTGAATTTGCAAATGAATTCCAGTTTAGCTGCCTTCCTTTGTAATCTGGTTTGGAAATTCTTTTGTAGAGGGTGGCTACTTTCAAATCCATTACTGAAAGTACAGCTGGGTTAAAATGTTCCCCTGGAGGTGTATGTGTGTTGCCATTCCTGATATCTGATTTGTGTCCATTTATTCTTTGGCATAGAGACTGTCCAGTTTGGCCAATATACATGGCAGAGAGGTATTGCTAACACTTGATGGCATGTATCACGTTAGTGAATGTGCAGGTGTATGAGTTCCTAATGGTGTGGCTTATGTAGTTAAGTCCTATGGTGGTGTCACTCTACAAAAGCCCTTAAATCCCTGTGTGGACACTGTTATTCAGAATTGGATAGGCCTTAATTTAGTTTATTTTAATGCACTTTGGAAGTAAATTAAACTAAAGTAAATTAAGGCCCCTTTAAGTCTGAATGAGGTTATTCACACAGGGGTTTAATGCAATTTGACTAATCAGCTTCAAATTCCCATCTTTAGTTAATTTAGATTAATATTCCTGAGTGGCCCACTATAGACAAACCCAGAAGCTCCTACAATAGGTAAGTAGTCTCTCAGAATAGGCAGCAAAGTCCTCCAGATTCTAGCACTTCTGTGGACTGCCAATTGTGGAAAGAAGACTCTATTTTGTCTCTCTAGTTTAAATTCTTGTCAAATCCCCAGATAAGTGATCATTTCTGAAAGTAGAAATTGGTCCAAAATTTGAATCTTGGTGCCTTATAATGCTTGAAATAATAATTGGATTTGGAAAAAAAAGTGATAAACCTAATGTAATAGCCTGGTTTCTTGTTTGCAAAAATAATTCTCATAAAATCAGGACTAAAAACTTTAATTTCCCATTAGGCATATTGTCAGTAAAAGGAGGAAATTGTGTCTTCTGTAGTGATAAGGAGTACATAAAGAAAAATATTTTTCCTCTTATTGTGCTTAGTCACATACAAAAGTAAGTGCACTACAGTAACAGATAAAATTTGATTATTCATTTTGGTTTACTATAATAAAATTAATTAATTACAATTCTTACACAAAGTCTGTAAGGTTTTACAAATACACACTCCATATCTGCCCACAGCAATAAGAACAGAAACAGGGCTAAGCCATGATAGGATCATTTCTAGGCAAATCACATACAGAATAAAATTTTAGGTTTCAGAAGTCTTATTTAATTATTACTGTGTAACTCTGATAAGATAAATTCTATTGAGATAAATTTGACAGCATAATTTTCAGAAGTTAAAATTCATTTTTAGTACAAAAGTTTGATAAGCTTACAAGTGTCAATATAAAACATAATATAAGATTAAACTGTTACATAACTTTTTTTTGTAACTGGTTACTAATGTGTTTCTAGTAAAGATTTCACTGTACTTTGGATCCTTTTATTTTCATAAAATGAACCTAGTAGTTAAAATCATCAATTTTCTGTAACATGGAGGTTGCCTACTACAGTGCTTGGTTTTCTTGATAATTGGAGTTTTCAGTTATTTAGTTTATTACTTCTCCTTTAATTAATACTCTATACAAATGTACTTTTCTTTTCTGACTACTTTTTTTTTATTACATATTTCTATTTTGGATATAATCTTATAAAACATGTATAACATCTCATTGTATCAGAAAATGCAAAGAAAATCAACATATCCATTCAAAATTCTACTTCCTTCTTTCAGACCTCACGCTATCAAGTACTGATGTTCACACTTAATAAATCTGGTGTGAAATCCTGCCTCCATTGAAATCAATAGGAATTGTGCCACTGACTTCAGTGGAGCCAGAATTTTACCTTTGCTGTACACTTTACTCTTTCCTAACTAGAGTTTCTATAGCACTTGTCTCAGGTACTTTTTTGAGTGCTGATCCTTATGGGTATTAACTTTGGATACACATGTGTTCTGTGTTCCTAGAACTGGAAATTCTTCTGAAGCAGTGTCTGTTGGACTGCATCTGCACCCTACACCTCCATTTGTTCCCTACTGAGGGTATAAAGGATAGTGAAGACACACTGTTCTTTCATGCTGCTTGTGATTTGGGACAGAACAGCTCCTATGTCCACATTCTTGTAATATAAAAAGTTTTCAGATTGGTTTAGTTTATAGTTTAGTTAGTTGGGGAACAGACAATATTCTCCTCCTTGTTTCTTTATTATGTGGGGGCATCTATTGTGCTAAGATTCCAGGCTTTAAACCCTATCTGACTTGTCACTGACAAGGCAGACCAGTATTTCTATACCCAAATGACTGGATACTATATGGCTTCATCTAAATCGAGAAAAGCCCTTCATTTCCACATTGTCTACAAAGACACTCATTATGGGAAGCATACCTTAATGACCAGACAATCCAAGGTTCCTGGTCTAGGCTGGTATCTAGATTGCATATCAACTTGCTGGAGCCATGCGCACTCCGTGACATATGCAAAGCATTTCTAGTCATAGATTCATAGAATTCAAGGCTCATTTTGCTCTATTAGTCTGACTTCCTATGTAAGACAGGCTAC